CTGTCGATCTTTCGTTTTTAGCCCGAGGCTGTAGGCTCAACACCCTTTCGAAATTGAATCAGCTTCCTTGTAGACGATCGATTGTGGGCCCAACACCCCGCTTCATAAGAGAGAGGCCGCAGCGATAGTGCGGCCTCAAGGCTCTACGCCGAACCCCCCCGCCCGCCGTCAGGAGTGTCCGAGAACACCCTGGCATTCATGGCATCCATGGCAGCCGCGATCCCAGGCAGATCTCTGAAAACAAATTAGAGAGAGAGAGAGAGAGAGAGAGAGAGAGAGAGAGAGAGTTCTCCAGAACACCCTGGCATTCACGGCATCCGTGGCAGCTTCGATCCCTGACTGCCACCAATGCCATGAATGCCAGGGTGTTGGGGGGTGGTCCTGGACTTCGATCCCTGACTGCCACCAATGCCATGAATGCCAGGGTGTTGGGGGGTGGTCCTGGACTTCGATCCCTGACTGCCACCAATGCCATGAATGCCCGGGTGTTGGGGGGTGGTCCTGGGCTTCCATCCCTGACTGCCACCAATGCCATGAATGCCAGGGTTGTTGGGGGGTGGTCCTGGGCTTCCATCCCTGACTGCCACCAATGCCATGAATGCCAGGGTTGTTGGGGGGTGGTCCTGGGCTTCAATCCCCCGACTGCCACCAATGCCATGAATGCCAGGGTGTTGGGGGGTGGTCCTGGGCTTCAATCCCCCGACCGGGAATCGAGGCTGCCGCCAATGCCAGGGTGTTGGGGGGTGGTCCTGGGCTTCAATCCCCTGACTGCTGCCGGGAATCGAGGCTGCCGCCAATGCCGTGAATGCCAGGGTTTTGGGGGGTGGTCCTGGGCCTCAATCCCCTGACTGCTGCCGGGAATTGAGGCTGCCGCCAATGCCGTGAATGCCGGGGTGTTGGGGGGTGGTGCTAGACTGCTGCCGGGAATCGAGGCTGCCACCAATGCCATGAATGCCAGGGTGTTGGGGGGTGGTCCTGGGCCTCAATCCCCCGACTGCTGCCGGGAATCGAGGCTGCCGTCAATGCCGCGAATGCCAGATTGTCGGGGGGAAGTCCTGCGACCTGCCCGGGATCGCGGCCCGGCCTCTAGGACTCCCTGCAGCACCTTGGCATTCATGGCATTTGCGGCAAGCCCCGCCGTCGTCCCTGGCTCGGCTCGTCGTCGCCGCCCGCTCGTCGTCGCCGCCCGGCTCGTCGTCGCCCGCCGTCGCTGCCCGCCGCGTCGCTGCTCGTCGTGCTGGGCTGCACCAACCCCGCGTCGCGTTAGATGTCAACCCCAGATGTCAACCCGGCGTTAGACGTCAACCCAACCCGCGCCGGCTGTCGCCGTCGTCGCTCGGCTCGTCGTCGCCGGCCGTCGCTCGTCGTCGTCTCGTCGTCGCCGCCCGGCTCGTCGTCGTCGCCGCGTCGCTGTCGTCGTCGCCGTCGCCGCCGGCCGTCGCTCGTGGCCGTCGTCGTGCTCGTCGTCGCCGCGCGCGCCGTCGCCGTCTCGCCGTCGTCCTCGTCGGCTCGGCTCGTCGTCGCCGCCCCGCTCGTCGTCGCTCGTCCGCTCGTCGCCGCCGTCGCCCGCCGTCGCCGGGGCATCAAACCGCGTCCCAGGTGTCGCCCCAGTGCGGTCGTCGCTGCCACGGATTCCGCGAATGCCGAGGTGCTGGGGGGCACTCCTAGGATCTGCCGGCATCGCGGCCCAGGATCCTCCGGCCACGCCTGGCATTCGTGGCATCCGTGGCAGTCCCCTTCCGTAGCCCCCAACCCCGGCTGCGTGGCATCTGGCAGTCGTCCATCCGCCTGCGGTCCCGCCGTCGTCCGTCTTGCGATTTTCACAGCCCAAAACCCCCAAAATGGTAACCCCGCGTGTGGCGGGAGAGCGGGGGGCAGGGACGCGCGGGAGTCGCCATTTTGCGATTTTCACAGCCCAAAACCTCCAAAATGGTAACTCCCCCGGGCAGGGACGCGCGGGAGTCGCCTTTTTTCGATTTTCACAGCCCAAAACCCCCAAAATGGTAACTTTTCTCGCGTGTGGCGGGAGAGAAGGGGGGACAGGGACGCGCGCGGGAGTCGCCATTTTGCGATTTTCACAGCCCAAAACCCCCAAAATGGTAACTCCCCCGCGTGTGGCGGGAGAGAAGGGGGGGCAGGGACGCGCGGGAGTCGCCATTTTGCGATTTTCACAGCCCAAAACCCCCAAAATGGTAACTCCCCCGCGTGTGGCGGGAGAGCGGGGGGGCAGCGGCGCGCGGGAGTCGCCATTTTGCGATTTTCACAGCCCAAAACCCCCAAAATGGTAACTCCTTGGCGTGTGGCGGGAGAGCGGGGGGTCAGGGACGCGCGGGAGTCGCCATTTTGCGATTTTCACAGCCCAAAACCCCCAAAATGGCTATATATAGAACTACATGTGTCAAGCTGTCTGAGGTCTCAAATCATGTGCACACGAGCCTGCAGACGGCATACACTGTCAGGGTCAACCACAAACCCTTATCAGTGTAAGAAAATAGCTTGTCGTTGTGGTTAGAAAGCTTGTCGGTGTGTCTGCAAACCTTGTCGCGGTGCCAACCTACTCTGAGCCAAAGAGGCTTCGTGGGAAACAAGTGTGTGATAAATCCAATTGACATGCGAACATAAAATTTTGCACCAAAATTTTCAAAAAGTTTTTGGGCAAGAATAAAGACTAATCAATCACGATTGAAGGTTGTCTCCACGGCTGGAAAGAGCTGCAGAAGGGAGGACAGCTTGTGGAATCGGCTGGATATTACAGCCACTGGTGCAGCACATGGCCTCCGTCCGGAGTTCGGACTGAATGGAAGCAAGCGCCTTGAGGCAACGAGCTGGCTTTCTGGGGTGGGGACCTGCCGAGCCTCACCTCAAAGCTCGACTACATCGACGGCTTAGGCGGGACCGGACCCCTTAGCCTCATGGGCACGTGCCGGTGTGTCACCGGCGTCCGTTTCTGCAGGAATCGATGTGCTGTACCTGCAGCCGATTGCCAAAAGCTATTCCAAGCATAAAAGTACGACACCATCGACTACAAACAGTTGGATTCGCAGTGCGGGACGGATGCCGATTTCAAGACGCTTTCCGACAAAGTCCATGACAAAGGCTTCTGACTGTCCTCTGTGCATCTACTGTATTGCAACCTGATGGACACGTCAATGTGCACCTTTTACTTTGAAGGCATGAAGTTGGTGCTCGACTTCGTGTTCAACCACTGAGGACAAAGGGCCGCAGGGCACGAAACTGATCAAACCGCATCAAACCGCGCAGACGAAAAGTGTGCGAAGCCATTAGGCCGAATGGCTGGTTGCACTTCAGCGTGGACAGCATCACCCCGCAGGATTGACACGGAATCTGAAGGTTGCGGAACCTCAGAACACCAACGGATCTCAGGGTCTCGAAGCCACGACTAAGCGACTAATGATTTGCAGCAACACTGAGTCCGGCACTGCTTGTTGAAGAACATGTCCGGCTGTGAGAAAAGGAGACCATTCACAGACCTGTCGAAAGCTCAGGGCTGCGACACAGGTAGCTGGACAGCGAGGTCAGTTGCCGAGGGAGGCACGGCTTTGTCCGCAGACACAAGAGATCTAGCCGCTGGCGCTCCAAGACTTTCAGATACCTGAAGGATGGCGTTCTGTCTGGCCAAGCACAGGGTGCCGCTTTGACACTGCTTGCGCCTCTGTGTCAAGGGGTGCTCGATGGTGTAATAATCATTGAGCAAATCCTTCGTTCTGCTTTGCAAAGCTCATAGAATTCCGTGAGCACAGTCGAACTCAAATTACTTTCAGGCCGGGCGGCGTGAAAGTAACACACACCGGCCTGCAATTGAAGGCCGCGGCTCGTGTCGTGTCGCACACATCCCAACCCTGTAATTGCCAGGCATAATCAGCAACTTTCGTGCACCTTGCTAACCTTCATCTCGGCTTGAGGTGGCATAGGAGCAGCAAGCATCTCCTCGAACGGGGCGACGGCCGTGGAAATGCATGTAGATCAACATGTCGTCCACATGCACCCTTGTTTCAAGCTGTCTTTTGACGAAGTCTCCCGCGCCACCCAGGAAAGTTCTGGCTCCAACTGCAGGTTGATGCCCAAATAGGCCACATACCTTACACGAGCCCAGATAGCATGCAGCCTTTGCCAAAAACCCCCACGAAGTTTGCAAGTCCTTTCTTGTGCCGGAGGGCTCCATAGCGGTCAACTGATCTTGCTCTGGTGGGATCTGCAGGGCCCGGCAGCTTTCGTTTCCTGTGGCTTCCATCGGCAGGGAGCAGTCACGACAGGACAGTGGCTAGGGGCCTTGAGGAACTCATCGGTTGCCTCATCCAATCGGGCGCCGATGCCTCGGCATCGCAACGCAGGGCCCTGGCACGCCGTCAAGGACTCAGGTACAGTGCCTCACCTGAGATTGACTCGTACTCTCCGCTCCTCTGGGGCCCGCACGCTCCGCCTCGGCCCCAAAGACCGGTCGCTTGGCGTCCTCCATGGCCTCCCGTCGTTCCACAGCAGAGTGCGCAAGGGCACTGCAGGATGACCGTAGCTGAAAAGGGCTCCCGCCTTTGGGGCCTGTGGCTCGCCGCCCTTGAAATGAGCCAGCAACGGCAGCGCCGGTACACGTGCTCAGGTGCAGCCTCACCCATTTTTTCCTCATCCGATAAGGTCGAGCGTGCGACTGCTCAATTGGCAGGTCGAAGGCGAAAGTTGCGCGAGTCTGAGAAATACAAAGTCGAGGACCGGCTACTCCATACAGGTATGCAGTTCTGCAAACTGGTGGGCTGGCCCTTAGTGCGGAATCGAAGACTTCAAGGATTGGCATACGAAGGATGCCACATCCAAACACGTTCTCAAGGATCGCACCTTCCAATAGTCAAGCTTCAGGTCGCAACACGAACATAAAGCAAGTTACTGGCTGTGCAAGTGCGCTCAAGAAAACGTGCAAAGATGTTTAGCGCCGACATAGGCTTGTCAGCCCACGCAGCATGATCAAATGTTGTAGCCTTCCAAAGGTTTCAAAACTCTACCTGGGCGCTCAGGGCGGCCTGGCAAAGCTCAATCAGCATGGCAGCATCAACCAGCCAAGCAATAGCAGGGTCAGGGACCCTACAGTAATTGGAGTCCCATCCGTCCGGGTGGAACCACTGGTGATCGCTGGCGCCACTCTTCCTGGCGTAGTGGATGCCTCTGGCGTAGTGGATGCCAAATTGCAGCAGAAGTCAAGACTCCGACCTGCAATAGTCGCTGCCGCTGCACCTGGCTTTGGGACGAAGCCTGATGGACAGGAGAAACTGGCGCAAGATGGTTCACAGCAACTAGCAAGGGTGTTGCCACGGGTGGTGCTCGCTGCAGCGATGCTGAAGTATGAATTTGGGCAAGAAAAGCGACTGCACATGACGTCGCAGCAGCTGGCCACGCTTGAACCTCCAATACGGTCGGGATGGGCTTTGAGGATGTAATCAGTCGGGCACTGGCTGGCTCTGCTGAAAGCACTGCAAGCAAGATCGCAGCATTCTGCTTCAGTGCTCCCTGCCGTCACCGCGGAGTTGGGTACTGGCAACTTGCCCGCAGGACATTGGAAGCTGCTGCACATGACTGTTTGTGTGCAGCAACTCGCCTCATTGCCTGGCGTGTATGCCTGGAACGGTGCCAAGTCGATTTTGACTGCTGGAGCAGTACAGGTGACTTCGTCACAGAACGAAGTGATGACTTTGATCTCATCAATGCCAATGTCACCCTTCGACCCGGATCCAGTCACGCCACGAAAGCGAAGCCGCACCGCCGTGCCAGGAACTGTCACCGTAAAAGACATCCAGTAGCCCAATATCAGCTTGGTGTCGTATGTCCAAAGCACTGTATAGCTAGAATCATACTCATCCATGTACTCTAATTTTATGCTGCCAATATCCTCTCCATACGTTGATACTTCAAAAGCCAGCTCCCAATCTGACAAGGCAGCAAACTGCGGCCCGAGCATGGTGAAGGTTGTGTCTCGGTTTGTGCTGGCCTCAGTGTAGAAGTAGCCGCGGCCTGCTGCAGCCTGGACAGGCCCGGTGTATTCCGAGGGCGTGGGACCACTCCTCCACGTCCATTGGCCTTTATCCCAACGGCATGCTCCCTCATCCTCACGATCGAAGTTACATGGAACAGCCTGCTTTGGGCTGAGAGATAACAGTGTCGTGGTGGTTGTAGTACACCACTTCACTGTAAGCTGCGGTGCTTGGTTCGGACTTCCGTCATAGGCTTCATACTCCCTGCTTTCTGATGACTCCGACGATGATGCATCACCGAAGAGAACCAGCACAGACCTAGTCCATCCATAATCCATGAGGTCTTGCAGGGGCCCTTCAAAACCAGAGTACTCTACGGTTGAACCAACACTGGAATGCGCCATTGGCGAGTGTTTCGTGCGGGTTGGCACTGTTTCATACGTCCAAATCCTGTTTAACTCCAACCGGCTGATGTCTGGACCATCGAAGAGACCAGAGTCATAGGCCACTCTTCCTCGGACCGTGAATGAGCCACTGCAGCAAGAGCCAACATCGTTCACTGTGAAGCTCACGTGGGCTGACGTGATCGTCGCCTTAGATGGTAGATCCAGACCACGGAACATCAGGCCCACAACCTGGTTGCCACCATTGAACTCGTCATATCCCAGCTCGATGTCACTTGAACTCGTATAAAATCCTTGTGTTTCCTTTGCACCACTGAACGACTGGTACACTTCCACATCATCACCACCAGAAGATATACGCGACGTTGATGTCATCTCTGCAGATCCATCAGCACACAGCCCAAGCACGAGCATGGTGTGGCACGAGCCCAGGATCCATAACAAGAGCTTTGCAGCGGCCTGCATTTCGCGCTTGCTACACTTCCTTTGGAATCCTTTGGAAAGGACACGCCCAAAGCCAGAAAGGACTTGAGCCGTAGCCATTCAAACAAACATCCTCTGCTTGCGGCTTTGCACGAAACGACCAAGTTGGCAGGCATGACAAGGCATGGAACGTGAGAATTCCATCATCTTCAAATTTCTTCCACTACGTGTTCGTTGTACGCATCGCAACGTCGGGAAATTGCTTGGAGTAGCGAGTAGTCATTGGTTGCAATGAACGAAGTAGATCTACGGCATGTCCGATACGGCAAGCGCATGACGACGAAAACAGGAAAAACACACGTCTTGCGCTTGCACAAACCCTCCGCATAGTGAGCTGGTTCCACACGAGGCGACATGGAGAATAACCAGCTTTTCTGCAGCCTCATCCATTTTTTCCTCATCCGATAAGATCGAGCGTGCGACTGCTCAATTGGCAGGTCGAAGGCGAAAGTTGCGCGAGTCTGAGAAATACAAAGTCGAGGACCGGCTACTCCATACAGGTATGCAGTTCTGCAAACAGGTGGAAGCTGGCCCTTAGTGCGGAATCGAAGACTTCAAGGATTGGCATACGAAGGATGCCACATCCAAACACGTTCTCAAGGATCGCACCTTTCCAATAGTCAAGCTTCACCGTGGCAACACGAACATAAATCAAGTTACTGGCTGCGCAAGTGCGCTCAAGAAAACGTGCAAAGAGCGCCGACATAAGCTTGTCAGCCCACTCAGCATGATCAGAGCCGGCGCGAAGCACAAGGCCATCATCAGTCGAGTGCCAAGAGTGCTCGTCTTTATTCTCGTGATGACGTGGGGTCTGCCTTGGAGGCTCAGCAGGCTTTGGTTCGTTCTTTTCGTGAAGGGTGGATCCCGGCAACTGTTCAGGCGAGGGGCGGCCAGCATCCTGTGCCTCAGCGAGCTTTTGAACATGTCTTTGTGAAGTGTAGCCCGGGCGTGGTTCATTCTCGGTTCCCTATGCTCGATGTGCAAATCATCGGAGGCAGCCATCACCACAGTCAAGCCAGGTGCTCCATTGGAACATTGTGCTGCTGAGGATTCGTCACTAGCTGCTGCAGCTTTACGGAGAAATCTCTTCGGGGGCCTTCCACTGCCAAGCACGAGCTAGCAGATTGCGAGGAGTTCATGTTCCTGCGCTCACAATCAGGTGTGGTGCATGTATTCTCGCATCCGGTTTCTGGACTACGGTGCTGCTCGAAGTGTCTTACCGCCAAAAGGGAAACTCGGACTCGGAGTGGGAAACTACATGTGGTATATATGTGAATATGGGAATTTGCTCTGCGGCTAGATAGAAATGTTGAACCTGCCTGTTCCTCGGCTTGCTCCAAGTTTGGCTGGAGAGGATGCGGGCCGTGGAGCAGACCGCGTCGGAGGCGATTGCGCTGAGGAATCGCATCATGGAGCTGGGATATGCTCAGATGCCGAAGGGCATGACGGAGCTCCAGTGGCTCCACATGCGTTGGAACCACAACACCCAGGCCATGGAGAAAGTTCCAGATGTGGAGCCCATGCTGCAGAGTCAAGTGGTGAGCGCATTGGTTCAGCTTCAGGCCACGATCTCTCTCTTATGAAGCGGGGTGTTGGGCCCACAATCGATCGTCTACAAGGAAGCTGATTCAATTTCGAAAGGGTGTTGATGTGAAAAACGCAGAGCAAGTCTCTTTTCACTCCACGCTTGAGCCAAACTCCGGAGTGTTCAGCAAGGTCTCTTGCGGAGTCTCGCGCAGCTAATTCCGTCTCAACTTTGCTAAACAAAGGAGGAATGACATGCAACTGTCCTAACACTTCTCAGGACTTCTGTACTCACTCAAACAGCAGTGCACAGCCACTCTGTCCCTTGGCCTGTTCCCACCGGCACGAGCGAAGCGAGGGTCGGCGGAAAACAGCAACAGTGCAGTCAGAGCAACACGCACTTCTTCAAGGATGCTCTAAAGCATCTCTAGTGCAGTAGACGCTCATCATGTTCCTCAAAGCAACTGCAAACATGCCAAAACAGGTGTTCGCCATGCAAATGCCTGTTCAAGCTTCCAAAACAAAACAGTTCAAGGCAAAAAGGATGAAACCCTTTCTCATGCGCAAAACAAGCATGTCGGTACTCAAGGGCACACCTAAAAGGAGCAAACTTTTCTCGGTCTTGCGCTCTGAGTCGCGGCCGCCGGAGCGGCAAGTTTGGTCTGGGCTGTACTCTGACAGCAAAAGGAGGAGGGCAGCCTTGTTTAAGGCGTCCTCCGCTAGGCCTACTCCTATCCCCCGTTCCTCCCAATCTCCGTTGGGAGGTTGCCGGAGGAGCTACTTCGGACCTAGTCTAGCCCTCCTCCCAGGCTTTTGCTGGCGAGGTTGAAGCAGCCTCAGGATTTGGCCCTGTGCCTCCCGGTGCCGGTGAGGAAAGGAAGCCGGCCATGGCCTCAGCTGTTCACCTCCTTGTGCCCCCTGCCTAGGTGGGCTCTGCTGGTTTTTGACCACCTCCCTCAGCCCCCTTCTTGAGGCGGGTCTTTGAGGCTGAGGAGATCCCAGTCTCCGCTGGTGAAGACATTGGCTCGCGACATGAGCAAACAGATCTCATCCCTGGGGGAAAAGCAGAGGATGCGCTGAGCATGGAGTGAAGCCACCACCCATTGCCCAGCATCGCTCCGGCTAAGTTCCTCCACCAAGGTGCGAGCCAATGCCCGGTGGTCTGGGTGTAGGGATTCCACTTGCACCCTCAACCAGTCTGCTGTTGAGGGATCACTGTGGTGGATCCAGTTCCACCAACTTTCAAGCCTCCTCCTTGGAGGAAAGCCTGGTGGTGCAGATTGCGGCTCCCAATCTGCAGCGTCGATGACAACGATCTCCTCCACGCAGGAAGCTGGTGACATCTTTCTGATGCCCCAGTTGCCACGATTTAAATCGCGGCACAGCATGCCCGCACAACTGACCCCCAGGATAACCATCGCCATGTGCAAAATCCTTGCACTGGATGGTTCCGGGTACATTGGGCTTAGCCGTTCCACCTCCAGAAACCGTGCCCCATGTACCAATCTGGAGGATTCCAGGGCCCACTTCCCGGGTCTTGCCTGAGCATATCCCGGGGATCACCTGCCCTAGGCGACTCTCTGGCCCATGGCCAGCCCGGCGGTTTGGAGCCGGCTCGCTGGAAGTAAGTTTCCAGCACAAGGCGGGATTTCCCGGGCATTCGAAGGTTGCCCGGCTGCCCCCTATTCCAAGGAGGGCATAGCTGTCGCTGAAACCCCTTAGCGCGAGCGAGTCCCCAACCTGAGCAAGCCAGTGGATAGTGTTGTGAGACCTCTTCACATGTGGCGTGAAGAGGATCAGGGGTTTGTCCCCCACTTCCACCGGCCATGTTGGCCTGGAGAGGCCGAGTCGGACTCCCCGTGTGGCCTGCTTGTTCACTTTGGGCCTCGCTAGGGTGGGTCGGGCCCCCTTGTGCGGCTGAGGGTTGGCTTTGCTCTTGGCCCGGGTGGGTCGGGCCCCCTCCTTCTTTGGAGTCCGGACTCCTCTTTCACTTCCTCCGCCGGGCTTGTGACCTCGTCTGTCAGCTCTGCCTCGGCCTCGGCTGGTTGCACCTTGGGTTCTGGGGCAGGTTCCTGCCTAGCCGGGGGTGTGCGGCTCCGCTCTGTGCCGCTTTCACTCCCTTTGTTGGGCGAGGATTGGGGTGACAGGTGTGGCTTCCCCCCCGGCGTTCCGGTGGGTCAGGCTCGCTCTCTCTGCCCTGGCCTTTGCCCTCCCCCCGTTGGTGCGGTGGGTCCGGCTCGCGGTCTCGTTTTTCCCGGTAGCGCGATGGGTCGGTCCCCCCGTCGGTGCGGTGGGTCGGGCTCCCTGTCCCTGTACCCCCCATAGTGCGGTGGGTGTACCCCCGGTGGTGCGGTGGGTCTGGCTCACGGCCCCATTCCCCCCGATATCTCGGTGGGTCCGGCTCTCTGGCTTTGCCCTGGCCTTTGGCGGGCTCGCCTTTGCCTTTGGCCTTGCCGCCAGGGTTCCAGAGGCCTAAGGCCTTGAGCCTGTCCCGGTCTTTCTTGGACGGACATGGCCATCGGGCGGCGGATCCCTTTTACCTTTACCTGGGGCTCCCATCTTGGACCTGTGGCCGCGCTAGGAAAAAGGCTTTGCGAAAAACTGCTTCACAGAAGGGGTACCAGCAGCTGCAAGTGTGTCACGTGCCGCACGCTTACGCTGCGTACCATGCTTACCATGTGCACAAAAGCGTTCAAGAACTGCAGGTGTGAGGCCTCCAACTGGTTGTACACTATGACACTGAGAGCACTTCCACCTGCTACCTTCGTTGCACATGGCATGCGAATCATGCCACTTCCACTCCGAAGAAGGAACACTGAGGGGGTGGTTCTTGCAAAAGTTGGCAACTTTCCTATTGAAATTGGGCTTGGTATCGGCCTGTTGAATCCACAAGCCACACTCCTCGCACTTGATCTGCAGGTTGTTTGCAGCCGTGCCACCCTTGACGAACCTGTGCCCCTTAGTGTCGATTTGGCCTGCCACCAAAGCCAACAAGATTTGCCTCTTATTGGCCTCAGGCGGCAGCTGGGCGGGAGGAAGGTCCGCGACCCCTGCTTCGCCGCATCTGCTCTCCGTTGCCATCTTTGGCATCTCTCCCTTTGTTGCGGGTTGGGGTTCGTTGGGCCCCCCCTCTGGCCTTGAATTGGCCGTCGGCGGCCCATGGGAGAAGAGCTGGCCTGCCGCGGCAGCTTCACCGCCGGATTGCTCTGGAGCCCCTGTGGGCGTGGATGTTTCCTCGGCGGGCTGGGCCTTCTTGCCTTTCTCCCCCCCGTGGGCCGGTGGGGTTTTGCCTTTCTTGGTCCGTCTTTTCTTTTGAAACGAAGACCTGCTGGTCGAGGGGCTGGACGACTCTGCCGATTTTTCCTCGCCCGTCTTCCTGGGGTACACAACCTGTGGGCCTTGATCTTTGTCATACCCCATCAATGCTTGCATGCGCCTTCCCACGAAAAGTGCAACCGACTCTGCCAGCGCATCAGATTGCTTGAGGGCAGTTGCTCGGTCTTTCGCCTCTTTTGTGTTTGCTCTCGCCCCAACGAGGCGATCGACTTCATCATTGATGACTCTGCGCCATTCTTGGCCCGGCCCGACTTGCTCCAAAAATTCGGAAGCTGTAAGGTGCGAGGGGACCCAATGCAGATCCAGCTGCTCCGTGGGGGCCGTTCCAAAGATGTCAAGATGGCGGCCTTTAGTTGTGGTGCCGCGGCGGCTTCTCGCCACCGCGCCTTTGCAATCACTTGTGACATCTGCCCCGGGCTGGAGCTGCTGCGCCGCAAAATGAATGGCCCTGGCCTCCCCACGGTAAACGCTTTGCTCATTCTTGAGCAGTCCCGTGGCTGAGCCAATCCGGTGGGGTTGGCCATCCTTCCAAATGTAGAAGGTAGCACCCCATACCACTTCTCGCGTTCTCTGGTCGTTTTCAGACCCCCCTGTTGCATCCGTGGCCGCGAAGGCTTCGGGTGGGACGGACCCCCCTTCTGCCAAAACGCCTTTTAGCTCAATGGCCTCATCTTGAGCATGTTGGCATTCCGGCCAGGAAGGGTCCCTTGGGAGGAGCCCAAAATCCCAAAGGCAATCTGGATAGTTTGGGTCCTCTCTGGAGGGCCACCATGCCGGTTCGGGCTCACCATACTCTTTCCACCATTGGCAGTCCCACAAAACATGCCTTCTGGTGGCCGGCACTCCACATCTTTGGCAGGTGGCATGCGGTGACGCCCTGACCGCTCCTTGCCAAATGGACTTCAAGGCTTTTCCTGTGAGGCTGTCCGCCTTCTTCAGGATTTTCCTTGATATCGGGGTCCTCAAGGATGAGGCCGTCCTTCCAGAGGCCCTCAATGACAGTGGGATGGTCGCCTGGCGGGGGCTGGCCCGAAGGCACCAAGCCCCTTATCTTCACGGCTGGGTCAAGCCTCGTGAGCGACTCAGCCACATGCTCGGAGCAAACTTTTCGTCACGTGGGCTTGCGCTGTGCGGCCAGAGGCCAAAGTTTGGGGTGAGACGGGTCGGGCCTACGACAGGCGTGGGGTTTTCCCACGCCTCCCCTTTTTGGGGCAAAAAGGGCCCAGGCTCACACGGAGCTGGGTCGCCTGGGTGTCCCATGGCGGTGCACCAAGCCTTTCCCCGTAGGTACTCGGCTGGTTCTACACCTAGCCACCAAGCCTTTCCCCGTAGGTACTCAGCTGGTTCTACGCCAGGTGCCACCAAGCTTTCCCCTTAGGTACTCGCTGGTTAGCACTCGTTCACCAAGCTTTTCCCCGTAGGTACTCAGCTGGTTACGCCTGGGGAGCCCTTGGCGAGGGTGCAGGGACCCAGAGACCTTTCCCCTTGGGTACTTGTTCTTGGGTGCCCTGCGCCCCTAGCCCTGGTTTAGGTCCTGGCCTTTCGGAGCTTTCCCTGCTGGAAACTGGAAAGTTTCCAGCGGGTGGAGCTCCCACGTCTGGCCTGGGACAAGCGGGTGAGGGCCACCCTGCTTCAGCACGTACTGGCAGATGTGACCCTCCGGCGAGATCCCTAGTGCTTGCGTCGACACCAGTGCCTCCAGGACGTCATCCATTTCTCCCTTGTTCAGGGTCCTCCCCATCAGGTTGTAGATACCCTGGGTCAGGGCCTGGAGATCGGCCTGGTTTTGCTTCACCAGAGCGAACAAAGGATCCAGGAGATCCGGCGCGAAGGAGCCCACCGTGGACCAGAATCCCTGGGCTCTGCGCTTGTTAGGCCAATGGGGGGTGGTTTGGGAACCATACTCCTCCCAGTCATTGGCGTCGAGCAGCAGGACCTCATACCTGGGCGGGTCCCCCATGCCCTGTGGCATGGACCTGCTGCCCATATTTTTCCGCCCTAAGTCGCGGATGTTGGCAAACTTCGCTGCTTGGCACACCGTCAGGCTGATCTGGAAAATCAGCGGCGGATTGACCATGGGGAGAGGATCCACGAGTTCCGTCTCCAGAAGGGACGCGAAGAAAGAGGTGCCGCCCTTGCCCTCCTCGACAACACGGTGCACACCCAAAGCCCTGGTGTGCCGCGGGGTCCAGGGGCCGGTGACTTTGAACAAGTCACGCTCTGCCTCCTGCGACCTTTTGGAGAGCTTCCAGCACTTGGCCGGGTTGGAAGGCGAGCGGAAGACCACTCGTGAACCCCCTAAGCCAAGCACTTCCAGGGCCGTGGCAACCTTCTGCGGGGAGCCTGGCTCCGCTCCCTGGCGGTCCTGGTGTGCGAAGTACACCAAAGACGCAGCGTGCAGGTAGCGCCCTGAGCACGCCTCCTTGGAGGCATCCTTCAGTTGGATGGTGAACTGCATGCCCAAATCCGGCACTGGTAGCGCCCTCCTCAAAGGACTGGAGAGAGGAGCAGGGCGCAGCCGGATGGGCTCATAGCAGGAGTCCGAAGACTCTTCCTTAGCAGCCACAGACCCTGCCGGGGATTCTTGATCGCCTTCAGCAGAGGCCGGGGAGTCCTTTTCCTTGGCTGTAGGTGCCCTCTTTTCCTCAGGCGGGGGAACCCCTGCCTGGGAGCTGGAGGGGGCTGAAGGGCCCGGGGCCTCAAGGGAGCCCGAAGCCACCTCAGCCTCAGGAGGGGGCTTGGCCTTTGACTTAACAGCCATTTTGCCACTTGACCGGGCCGGGGCCTGAACAGGCTTGGCCTTGCCCCTTCCCTGTTCCTTGTTCCTGCCTCGGGGCGATCTGGAGCGGGAAGAAGAGTAGTAGGAGTAAGAGGCAGCACTTTCATCATCTGCCTCCTTTCGCCCGCCGCGGCCCGGGACTGGTGGTGGGGGCGGGGTATCGTGGTGCTGGGCTGGCTCAGCTGGCAGGGGTCGCGACCACCTGTAGTACTGGCCAGCTGCCCGTTGCTTCTTTCCCGCCCGCCGCTGGGAGTACTCCCTCGAGCTCTTCGACCTGTGCTTTTTGCCACCTTCCTTTTCTGGGGTTCCTGTGCCACCCTTGCTGTGTGCAGCCGGGTTTTGAGAGTGACTTTTTCCTCGGCCCAAGGGCATTTGGCTGGGCTAGAACCCTTGCCTTTAGCCGGGGTCTTCCCCTTGCTGCGACCCCTGTCTGGGTCCCTGTCCCTAGCCGGTTCACTGCCCCGGAGGGGCTCGGCTGGGTTGTGCCTTTCCATGCTGGCTACCCTCTGTGAACCAAAAGGCTGCGGAGGCAAGGAGAGAAAACAACACAGAGGGACCGGGGTCGGGCGCAGGCGCCTACAAGGGGGGAGGTTTGGGGGCCCCAAAGTGCAGTTTTGCCTGCTTGGGACCACCTGTGGATGGCGCCGTCGAAGCCCTTGGAGTTTTACTCCGTTTGCCCGGCCCAGGGGCAGGGTTGAATGGTCGGGAGCCCGAGCTTTGTGCAGGGGCTGAAGGAGATCTGGGCAGCTCCGGGGCTAGGGGTGAAGGGCCCCAAGGCTTGCCTGAGCTGCCAGCCTGGGCTTGGATTTGGCAGAGGGGTTGGGTAAACCAGGACCCCCTGCCTACAGGTATCGCCTGCGGCCTCGGCGTCAAGGGCGGGAGGATCACGAAGTCCCGTGCCCTCAGCCACCACTGCCCTCGAAGGGGCGGGGGCTGACGACGATCTGGCCTTGGCCTGGGAGAGGTTTTGCACCAGTAGCTTTGGGCTTGGCCTTGCAAGGATCAAGAAGGTAATGAATCAAAGTCTCGGACCCAGGCCTGTGTGTCCTTTTGCACCCGATGCACCTTTCAAAAACCATGTGGTGGGTCGGGTGGCACTGCCAGAAACTGAGAAAGAGTTCCTGGGAGCAGTGACCGATGCAGGGCTGGGCCAGTGTTCTCCGAAGTTGCTTCTCAGGAGAAATCTGCTGAGCGCCCAGCTTGCACGTGGTACAGCTGATGCGGGCCCCACTTTGGTGCTCAGAGGTCCACTTCCAGGTGTGCCCGAGCTGGGGCTTGAGGACTGCTTCCCGCAGGAGGTCCCTTTTGTTGGGCTTCCCAGCCTGGCGTTCGGTTTTGGCCGGCTCGGGTCGGATGACTTTGCCTTTCCTCTTGAACCCAGACGCTCTGCCCTTTTGGTTTTGGGAGCTGGCCTCACCCTCGAATTGGATCTGAGGGCCTTGATCCTGGTCGTACTCGAAGAGGGCTGCAGCACGTGCCGCCAAAAAACTGAGGACGGCACTGGCGTCGGCGTCTCTGGCTTCAAGCTGGCTTTCCCAGAGCCTGTCGCGGGAGCGATTGGCATGGTCACCAGCTAGCTTATCCACAGCCTGGTTGGCATGCCATCGCCAAGCAGAGTGGCTTCCGAAGGTCTGGCAGTGACACTCCAGGGATTTGTGACTACGGATCCAATGGAGATGGAGTCGCTCTGCTTGTGCTCGGACTGGTTGAACCAAGTCCAGCGAGGTGCGGCCAAGATTCCTTCTTTCGACACGGGTTTTGACACTCTTGGCATCCATGGTGACGTCAATGTCACCGGCCGTGTGATCGACCAGAAAGAGTAGCGCGGAGGCCTCCGCGCGGAACACGGACTGTTCCGCTTGAACGGGACCCGCCGCCGAAGCGACTACCTCGATGCCACCAGGTTTGATTTTGAAGGCAATGGCCGCCCATGTGAGCTTCCAGGCTCGTGGGTCATTGGTGGAACCAGGTGAGCCGTCGGTGGCATAGAAGATATCGGGGTCCTCAAGGATGAGGCCGTCCTTCCAGAGGCCCTCAATGACAGTGGGATGGTCGCCTGGTGGGGGCTGGCCTGAAGGCACCAAGCCCCTTATCTTCACGGCAGGGTCAACCCTCGTGAGCGACTCAGCAACATGCTCGGGAATGGGGTCGTGGTTCTGCCACCATCGACAATCCCAAAGCAAGTGTTGCTGGGAAGCGGGCTCTTGGCATCTCGTGCACCAGGCCTTCTTGCCACACCGGAGGGCTCCTTGCCAGACCGCTTGGAGGCTCTTTTTCTGCAGCGGCGGGAGTTTGCGAAGCAGTCTTTTGCCAATGGTCCAGTCAACCCCGGTTGCTAAGGAGGCGCCGCCTTCAAGTTGGCAGATTGCTTGGAGCCTTTTGTTGGCCCAGAATGTCCTCAGCAGGCGTAACATGCCTTCCAATTGCAGCGGGTCCTCCAAGTCGTAGTGCTGGGAGTGGATCTCCCAACGGAGAAGAGAGCTGGGTTGCCACCCAAGCTCCTTTAAGTAGCACAGCGTGGCTCCCATTGGCCCGGCTGCAATCCTCCAAGGCTCTTTGTGTGAGGCAACACGCTGGGACATGACCTCAAAGGCGTTTTCCAGAGCAGGTTTGAGGGCCTGGGGCCAGTTGCCTGTCATGGCAACGAAGCTTCTAAAGTGTTGCTCCACCAACCGCCCAGAGGGATCAGGCTTAGTGGTGCAAAGAAGGTCGAGCACAACCTCCGTGGCTCCATTGGTGAGCCTTCCATTGTGCTGCGCTGTGAGCTGACGAAGAAATTTCAGTTGCTTGGGCGCCAGACCCACAGCCTGATGACCATACGCTGCTGCTGCCTCAACCCCGGCCTTGGCAGCCTTCTTGCGCGCAGCGTCCTTAGCACGGAGCTGGGTGAGCTTCTGAGAGCGGCAGCCTGCTTTCCGGAAACGCTGCTTGTGAATGGTCACCCTCCTGCGTTTGCCCCCAGCCGAGTCAACACCAAGGTCCCTCCAGCAGGACTGGATTTGAGGGTCGGCTTCCCCGAGGTGGGCGGAAAGCTTTTTCTCAACCTCCCGGCTGGAACAAACCCAAGCCGATTTGGCGATGGAGATGGGGAGCTTGCGCTGGGTAAGCTGCTGCTTGACCAGCCTCCAGACCTCCAATGCTTTATGGACGACGGTGGTGACCGATGCGTCCTCCACATCGAAACTTGAGTCGTCGATGTACAAGTCACAGTTGTGTAGGCTGGGGCAATGGTGAAGCACGTTCATCACGGGGTGGAGAACAAGCTTCGAAAGACCCGGAGCAAAAGGGCAGCCCGCGATCACCCCTCGAGTCGGCCTGACCGGGGATGCCAGGACTCCTTCGGTGCAGATGTACCTGGAGTGGGTGTACAGCTGGATGCAATGATGGAGCACAATTGGAGGAAAGTCGTGCTCCATCGCAGAGTGCGTAAGTCCCACAAGGTCTACGTGTTCGTAGAACTCGCGAAGGTCAAGCAGAAGCGTGATGCCCTTCGTTTTGTGGAAATGGTTTACCTCACTTCTGATAAGCCTTGCCAAGGCTATATCCAGTGAGGATGCACCTTGTCTTGCACCGTCCCATGGGGCCGTGGCCGCATAGGCCCGGGCCCATTTCTCGTACACCGGCCATCTGGAGCGAGCCCAAATGCGATAGCCGTAAGAGGTAAGGCCAATCGGCCGCTCCCGCTCAGGTTTCTTTGGGAGCATGGTGACTCCAGTGGTGAGGACCTGGGATGGCATCTGGCCCTTAGCCTCCCAAGCTGGTCCGCAAGCTCGGTGATCTGAGGCACCGAGGCTCGCTTAAGCATGGGTGCGGTAAGACCGTCCAATCCCGGGGCCTTCGTGGAGAGCTTCTTCAGCACCTTGGTGAGCTCCTCAGCGGAGACCGGGCCGAGCGCATGGTGCTGTTCCACAGCAAGCTCCAAAAGACGAGAGAAGATCGGGTCCTCCAAGGCTCGGTGGTTGGAGGAAGGCTCCCAAAGCCTTTGCCAATCGAGTCTTCTCTCATGGTGGCGTAGCTCAAGAGGGAGGTCCCGGTATGGGCGAACCGTGGTAACCTCAGCTTTCTTGAGTGCCCCATAGAGGCCCTTCATGCCTCCTTGGGTGGCCTCTTCTAGCCAGGTTTTGTACCGGTCGTTGTCAGAGGTCCTTTTGTCCTCAGCCGCAGCCTTTCGGACTGTGGCCAAGCTCGAAAGCTCCGCCTGAAGAGGAGGGGTGCCTTCGCGAATATGGGCTGCAAGGCAGTGCCGTAGGGCTGGTAAATCCAAGCCCTCGACCTCTTGTCCCGCCGTTTGAACCAAGAGAGCTACGGCTCTAGGGAGGCAGGGGTTAAGGGTTAGGGTGACAACGTTCGGCAAGTTTGCAAGAGGTTTAGACTGCAGGCAATCACTCAATGACATGTTGCATCACATCCACATTCGCGCTCTGACTTTTTTCATGATGTGTGTCGGGCCTCTTCGTATTCGATCTGCACCAGCCTACAAGCTGGATTGAAGCACAAGTGTACATACGACCTCCGGCTGAGTGAGCAACCGGAACTTGCACCCCAAGGATAGCGATACGTGCCATCGAGCAGATAGCATGCCAAGTGAAACATTAAACACAATGGACTGCTTCAAGGGCGGCGTGGGTGGGTCACAAAATTGACCTCGCACCAAATTGGCCACGGCATGGCCAATCATTCAACTTGCTTCAAGAGTCAAGCAGTGTGTACTTGCCGGTTCGTCCAAATGCACAAGCAATCACAAGAGGAAATCAAAGGCCATTTTTCAAAGAATTCCAACAAGGATCATTTTCACTTTTCCCCCGGCCCACCCCCCCTGGCTCAAACTCCGAGACAATCCTTTTGGGGAAACCCAAACGGTTTGTCCCGCCGTTTGAACCAAGAGAGCTACGGCTCTAGGGAGGCAGGGGTTAAGGGTTAGGGTGACAACGTTCGGCAAGTTTGCAAGAGGTTTAGACTGCAGGCAATCACTCAATGACATGTTGCATCACATCCACATTCGCGCTCTGACTTTTTTCATGATGTGTGTCGGGCCTCTTCGTATTCGATCTGCACCAGCCTACAAGCTGGATTGAAGCACAAGTGTACATACGACCTCCGGCTGAGTGAGCAACCGGAACTTGCACCCCAACTTTAGACCGGGAAGCGAAGGAAGCCCGAAGTGCAAATTTACCATTCCGACTTGTCAAGTAATTTCTGGCGCTTACTGATTTTCTCATTCGGCAGCTTAAGCAAAGCAAGGCGTTCGCGTTCGTGCCTGAACTCCTGGTAGCCTGCTTGCAGCTCCTTGAAGAGATCCATGGGGATATCTTCCATCGTCAAAGGCACCTGCAATTCTGGATTGAAATTTCCCGTTCTCAGATTCGTCAGATCATCAGCATCCTGGTTCTCTTCACGTGGGCGCCATGCCAACCGGCACACTTTGTTCGCCTGGCGAAGCGTCGTAGCAAGCTGCATATGGATACCTTGCACAGGCCACTTGTTGCTGACCCCACGATCCGTCACCGCTGGTGTTGACTTGTTATCAGTCCCGGCACACACCTGGAGTCTGAGCCTGTCACGCCCCCCCTTCGGCGTTGTGTGGCCGAACGCCACAAGACCGGCGTATGAAGCAAGGAGTTCAGCTGCAGTTGATGCCCATTCGGTCGAAAGGTCCTCCTTGAAGAGAGCAGGGAGATCCTGTTGTCGTATCTCCAAAGTGAACCAAGGCGCGTTGTGGGTGTCGGTCCCCTGATCGAGGGACCAGCCACCGAGAACCACTCGTCCCCGTTCGCATTTTGCGTCGGTTCTAAAGGCTTGCCGATCGCTTGCAGGCCAACTCATATGGACGGCGTCAAGTCTTGCCCCGCTCTCAAACTGGAAACGAAAGAAGCGAAGGACCAGCACCACGAAGTCAGGGAGTTGCGCAACGGTGCTGCGATTGACCACAGCCTGCCAAGCATACAATGGAGCCAAGAAGGGCTTCATCCAGGTAAGCATCCGAAGGACGAAGTTAAGTCGTCCCAAGAATTCCACCAAGGACCTTCCAACAACCACCCAATTCGACGACTCAGCTTTGGTGATCCATTCCACGATCCATCCGGCGCGCTTCTTTGAGATTCCAGCAGTCCATGAGAAGTAATTGATGTGGTAACCGATGAAGTCCACTTCCACCCCACCACGAAACTTGTGGTATGCGAAGGGAGTCCCCATGACCTCCAGTGCCAAGAAGAGTGCCCAGAGCGTTGTGAATTTCTCGGCTCCGAAAACAATCACCTGGAGGTCATCAACGTATATAAGCATGTAGAACTTATCAAGGTGCAGTATCCGGAAAGTCCAACGGCCAACTGTTGCAAACAATCTCGCCCAATGATACGCCGCTGAGCTGATCCCGAAAGTACCAACTCGGTTGAGCCAGAGGACTCGTGATGCGCTGGAAGCTTTACAGGCCATGCGAGGCCAGTCAGCCTCGCGCACCTTTGCATTTCTGTGTGCTTGTTTTATGTCCGCGCACAAGGCGAAGGGGGCCTCCTTGCTTTCAAGAACCCGTGCAGCCACTTCTTGAAGATCTTCGGGGCCTGGGACCTGAAGCTTGTCAAGAATCCTGATACGATTATTCAAGTTGATGCCGTGAGTCCCATCGTGTAACGGTCTCACATCGCCGTTGGCCTTGGTCACCGCTCCCATTGCTGCAATGAGCACGGCGTCGGCTCCGTATTTTGCCTTCGCCTCTGCCTCGGTCGTGCAAGTCATCAAGCCGGCTGCTTCGTCCTCCCGAAATTTCGCCTCAAGCTGTTCGGCGTTCAACTCCGCTGAACGGTAATTGACCATAGAGGGATCGAAGTCTGATTGGTCCAGTTTCCTGAAGGTCGTGCGCCTTGGGAAGACTTGAGGCGTTCTTGGCAACGGCTTGTCCCAGCCCAGGGGCACGCCTTCAGCAAAGGACTCGCTACCATGATCCAAGATTTCGAAGTCAGGGTCCCCAAGCGTCTCCAGTGATTGCGACAGCATGTGCAAGTAGAATGGTTGGCCAGGGGGCTTGCACTTGGCTTGCTCCGGATCCGGCAAAGCTTCCGCGATTCTCTCCCGTGTCTTTTCAAGTGTGTGGTCCTCAAAGGGGGATCGCTGCATGCGACCGGTCGCCAACAAGTAAGCTGCTTTCCTCGGGTCTGGGATGGTCGACCTCACCGTGTCCAACAAGATCCCGCGTACCTGTTCGGCATGTTCCCATTCCGACGAGCTAGCTTTTGCATCTCGTGAGTCAGGCCGCCACCGGCCTGGGGAGCACAAGCCAAAGCCATCCACGAGCTCTCTCCATTCACGGGTGTGTCGACACCGAATGGGCGGCCCCCTGCATCGGCTTGTGGCTGGGTCGAAGTCCTCTGTCGCATCTACACTGTCCTGGCTCAAAATACCTCTGTCAGCACTGTCGACATCAGCCTGTTCCGTAGTGGGTTCTACTTCTGGGGCTCGCGGAGTGGTCCCCTCCACGAGGGTGCTAACAGGAGCCTTCCGGGTGGACCCTCCGGCAGGGGTGCTAGAGGGAAGAGGGCCCCCAGACACGGCAATGTCAAGGGGGGTGTTAAGGTGCGGGTTGGTGTCTTCGGTGCCTGGCCCCCGCTTTAGTGACGCCGAAGACGGCAGCACGAAACCAAGGGATTCAAGTAATGATTGTTGCTCCGGCTGGAGCTCCTGCGTGCGCTGCACAGCAAAGCCCACAAGCAAGATCCGCTCTCCTTGCCAAGGTTCTGTTTGATGAAATCGTTCGTGGGCCAACAAGGTTTGTGGCTGCTGGGCAACTGGTAGGAGGCGGCCACACCGCGGGATTCCGCGCACATGGCGGTAGACGTCTCCTGTCGAGCACTCCATCCATACCTCGCCATGTTGACATTGTGAAAGTGCCAGCAACAAGTTGGGATGCGGTGCATTGCGGCTGTCCTTGTGCATCTCAGCAGCAACGTTTTGAAAAACCGCAAGTGAAGTGAAGACCTGTCCCGGAAAGTGCGAGCGAATCAAGGAGGTCAGGCACTGTATTGCTTTGGGGAAGTTGTGGCAGCTTTGGCGGAGCCCAAGAAAGCCGCCCTTGCAGAAGGCTCCAGCGAAGAATGCTTGACCTGTTGGCACTTTGTCTGCAGAAGTCGCAGGATGCGGCGCTTCACACGGCAACAGACGGAAAAGTGCTTCACCATCGGGTGGTGTCAAAGGTCTGCCCTCATCCAACAAGAAGCTCGCAAAACCCTCAGCACCTTGAAACTTCTGTCCAGTTGTTTGTGCAGAAAACACATGTTCGGCAGCCAAACCTGTGATGTGCTCGAGAAAAGCAAGGGGAAATGCAAGCTTGGTGGCCCAAGCTGCCGCCGTACGACCTACCGCTTTCTCGTGGACATGACCACATCGCTGCAAAGGTCCGACGTATCTGCCTTCAAAGTCGAACTGGGGCCACGGCATTGACGGGGCACCAGCCTGCAAGTTAGTAATGACTCTAGTGGGATGAGCTGCATGTGCACCGTACGCACACATGTGTTGTACCCATGTTCGGGCCGTTGAATCCTGAGCTAACAGCTCGTGCATCTCCGGCCATTGCCAAATGCTAGCCGGGTCCTGCTGGTTCTTAAGTCTGCCAAGGTCCTCCGGGTGTAGAAGCATCCAGCCCGTATGGACGTTGGCGAAAATACGAATCAATTTCAAACACTGTCTGATGAAGCAATCTTCACGCTCAACTGCTACCACATGTTGCTTAGCAAGCCAAGGGAAGCCGTGGGGAAAATTACGAGCCCGAAGGGGTTTCGGCCCGTTGTGCAAGCCGTCTTGACGGTAGCGCGCCCTGCTGTAAGTGCTGCAAGGAGGAAACATTAAACACAAATCCCAAGCTCCAAGCTGAGCTTGCTTCGCAATGGATTCCCAGACCTCGGGCTTATTTCCATCCAGTCGTTCACGATCCTCGATGAAGTCAACCTTGAGTTCACAACCCGAGCGATCAGCCAAATTCTTCAAACACTCATGCACTGCTGTTTCAAGATCACGCTCCACTGCAACCACCAGTGCCCGGAGTCAGTTCTTGGGTTCATCTGTGCGCTTGCCATCGTGATGCAACTGCCAATGCTTCCAAGT